TAGAAAACTCCAAGCAAAAGAAAATAGCGTGATAATCCTTTTAGATCAAGAAATATTGTGACTTAAAGAAAAGCAAAAAGTATTAAAAGATGTATGTAAAATATACAATTAGAAATTTATTACATTCATTACATTTTTTTGAATTTCATTATCTTGTACCCTAAATATGTCGGACAGGTTTTCAATGCCTATTGAACATATCCGTTTTAAATATACCCTTGGTTCAAAGAAAAATTTCATATGTTTATTGAAGTATTTGATTATTTATTTAATTTTCAAGTAAATTGATTGGTTCATTACTCTTTGGGGGATTATAGTATCTATTTTTTTAGAGGTAAAAATGCTCTGGGGTTATTGGAGAAGTTTAAATGTTAAGTTTGGGCATTTGAATGCCCAAACTAAAAAAAATTCAAGGGGAAAAATCTTGAAAAATTAGGGAGAAAAAAGCAAAATTTTGGCAAAAAAATCAGGGAAAAACAGGGAATTTTGTTCCTAAATAATGGTGGCAACCCTGATATATATATATATATATATATATATATATATATATATATATATATATATATATATATATATATATATATATAGTATATATATATATATATATATATGTATGTATATATATATATATATATATATATATATATATATATATATATATATATATGTATATATATATATTGTTATATATATATATATATATTGTTATATATATATATATATATATATATATATATATATATATATATATATATATTGTTATATATATATATATATTGTTATATATATATATATATATTGTTATATATATATATATATATATAATATATATATATATATATATATATAGATATATATATATATATATATATATAATAATATATATATATATATATATATATAAATATATATAAATATATATATATATATATATATAATATATATATATATATATATATATATAGTATATATATATATATATATATATATATATATATATAATATTATATATATATATATATATATATATATAATATATATATATATATATATATATATATATATGGTAAAATAAGTTTTATTTTATTGTAAACAATTAGGGGATGATTTATTAAAATTTTTGACATTTGTTTGATTATTAATGCCTTTCCAAAGCTCTCAAAGATTTTTATATTTTATGAGAAAAATGTTTATAAATGAATTATTACTAATTATAGCTATTTGTTTACTGTAAATCATTTTTACAATTGTATTAACATTAATAATAATAGTAACAACAATAACAGTAATAGTTATAATAATATAAGATAATATTACTTTTAAAGAAATAGTAACAATAATAAATATTATAATGGCAGTTATAAACATAAAATTATTTATAACAATAAGTTAATGTTTTATTCGGATGGTGTCACTCATACAAAGGTCTGATCAAAGAAGTGACACCAGTTTATAAATATAATATAATTAATAATGAGCAAAGAGATACATTGAAACATATATAACATAAACACATAAGTTAAAGCAAATAGAACATACCTTATAAATCATATCAGAAATATTTATAAATCATAATTTGAAGGTTATAATAATAAAAAAAATAAACAAAAGTACTAGTAGTAATAACGAAAAGAAAATTAAAAGATCATTTTAATAGTTAGGATAATGTTTAAAAAATTTTTGGAGGACTTTGATGTACCTGATTTAATTGGTTGGAAGTTTATTACTCTAATGGATTGACCCTATTATTCTAAATGACCCTGAGATAATAGCAACTTGTTAATGCGATAATATTCACCTATTTAACTTGACAACAATAGTTAAGGTAAGGTTAGAATAATGCATAGTAAAAATTCCTAAGTCTAACTTTATCAACATATAATTGAATTATGGGTAACTTTATCAACATAATGAGTAATAATTAAAAGCATTAGGTCAAGTTTCTTGCTTCATGTAAAAGTTTCAAAGATTTCACTTAAGATTTTACTTCCAATAAAGATTTCACTTAAAACACCAAGATGTTTAATAACACTCAAAGGCCATTTATTATTATTTTTGATTTGATTTCAACATTTTTAAAGAAATATTATTTTCTCAGAGATAAAAAAAAATTCTTTCACTTTTTTCAGTGTTAAGACATATTAGATTAGCATTTAACCAGTGAGTTATACCTTTTAGATCCGAATTTACATTTTTACATAAAGAATGATACGATTTGTTGATATGTAAGAGATTTGTATTATCATCAAACAGATGATCTCGTGAGAAGTAAACAAAGATGGTTAGGTCGTTAACAGATTAAAAATAAAAAAAAGACCAAAACAAAATCTTAAAGAATACCACACAAAACTGATTTATTACTAGAATTTAAACCATTTGTATTATTAGCAAAAGATGAACTGATGAGAAGTTAACAGAGTTGGTTAGGCGTTAACATGGATTAAAAACAAATAAGGACCAAGAACAGAACCTTGGCAAACACCACACAAAAGTGATTTCTTACTAAAACTAAAACCATTAATACTTACAAATTGTTTTTGATCTGAAAGATAAGATCAAAACCAGTCATTTACAATATCGCGAACTCCATAATATTCTTATTTAGAAATCAAAATACTATGGTCAATCGTATCGAAAGGTTTTTTTAAATCCATAAAAACACCACAAATGAAATGACCAGTATCAAGAGCTTTCTTGATTTTTTCTGTTATACTTATTAAAGCATGGCAAGTAGAATGCTTTGATCGAAAACCAAATTGAAAATCATTTAAACGATTAAATGTGTTTAGAAAAGAGTACACTTTAGAACAAATAAGTTTTTCAAGAAGCTTACTAATGTTAAATAAAATAGAAATAAGTCTATAGTTACCGCATGAAAGTTTAGAGCCATTTTTAAATATTGGAATAACGCGAGATAATTTCAAAGTATCAGAAAATGTTCCATTTATAAATGAGGTATTAAATAATTTAGAAGAAATATTTGAAAATTCAAAGTTAAAATCTATTAGAATGTTTGAGATAATAATAAACTATGTAAATTTGGATATTAAAGGCACTTCTGATTGTTAACGTAAGACGATCTTAACATTTTTTGTTAGAAAAGATTGACCAGTTTTTAACTATACGAGTGATACCGAACCTAATTTTGTAAAACTATAAATAAATCTGTAATTTTTTTCAATTTTATGGTTAAATAAATGGGTTATATATATATATATATATATATATATATATATATATATATATATATATATATATATATATATATATATATATATATATATATATATATATATATATATATATATATATATATATATATATATATATATATAATATATATGTATGTATAAATATATAAATTGTGCCTGTGTGAAATAAATAGTTTATTGAAATTGGGACAAATACAAAATTGAGGTAAATGATCAGAAACAGATGTTGTCAAAATTCCTGAAATAATTTCATTAGTTATTATATTAGAGAAGGTATTATCAATAATTGTAGCAGAGTTATCAGTAATTCTAGTCGGCAAAATGATAAATAAGTGAATATTATAAAAGGAAATGTTGCAATTATCAATGAGAATCGGATGAATTGAGAATGTTCCTTTTTCTAACTTTGTTTCGTTTAACCTAATAATGAAAAAATCAAAAATTTTTAAATCCTCAAAACATTTTTTGTAATGATGATATGTTTAGCTGAAAAAGAAGAGAGCGTTTATTTTATTAAAGTTTTGAAATTTTTATTAAAATGCACATAATTTGTTTATATTACAATATTTACAAACTATGTCTAATGAAAAGGAAATTTCTTCATCGAAATCTAAAACACGAAATGAAACATAATTGTTAATTTGATTAGAGACTTTATTTAAATGAAAAGACGGAAAAAATTTTGTAGACAGAGGTAAATCATCAATTTTATCAGAAGAAAATACCAATTTAAATTCGTTATCTGGTACATCTGTGAATGGAAAGATATTTTTAGTACTATACTATGCCGCAATGAGCGACTTAATTGTAGTAAACTGTACTTAGCATCATTAAGCCTGTCACATTTTGTATGAGTCTAAAATATATAAACATTACATTGAGTTGAGCGGCAACTTTGACTAATTTTCTTTTTACACAGATGACGGTTTAAATCCATAGAACTGCATTATGAGTGTAAGAAACAATAAATAGGAAGTAAATAGATACGTTATTAATAATAGTTAAAATAATACTAATAAATAAATTTATTAGGAACAAGCAATTACAACATCGATACACTAATAATTATAATAATAATAATGATAGTTTAAACAATAACAGCTAAACAAATTGTTAAGTATAACAAAAACAAAAAGAATAAAATTATGAAATTAAAATTAAATTAGTAAAAAATACTAAATTAAAGTTAAGAAAAATGAATACAGTAGAATCCCGTTAACTCGGATCCTGGATAAGTCGGATTTTACTAATTCGGACAAATTTTTAATTCCTCTTGAATTCTCTATACATACTAAAAGCTTCGATTAACTCGGACATTCGCCAAGTCGGACAATATATATACCCACTCGTAGTCCGAGTTAACGAGATTCTACTGTATTTAAAAATATAGTAACAATAATACAATTAAATTAGTGATGCTGGTTTGATTTTGATCAAAATTTATCGGTAAAATTTGCTGGGAAATTCACCGAAAATACAATGTTTTATATTATGTTATGACTATCCAAGTTCTCTTGTATTTTCCTCATCGTAAAGCAATAAATATAGAAACTTAAATGCTTCAATGTAAGATAAGCAAATGAGGCCCTATGTGACAAGGTTTGATCTTTTACAAAGGTCAAATGCCGGCTAAATATCCTCATTTTTTATACTTCAAAAAAATATATCTTTATATCGATTGCGATTTAGTCCCAACTGTTACAATTCGTGGTGCATGTTTTTTAAAATCTTTTTTAATGATTAATATTTGTCTGAATAAAGTTAATTATCAAAAAAAAAATTTTTAAGATATTGATGAGTGTACTAGTATCAAACCAATTTGTTCTTGGAGCAATGGTGTGTGTTCCAATACTAATGGTAGCTTTGCGTGCTCTTGTAAATATGGATGGAAATTGGGTCTTGATAATACAAGCTGCATTGGTAAGTTATTTTAAGTTAAAGTAAATTGTGAAATGTATTATAAACATTATCATTTTATAAAATTATCATTTATTTATATTATCATTAAAATATTTTATTAATTTTATAATATTATTATTTACAATATAATAAAATTTCAATTTATTGTATTATAATTGTTTACCCCACTATAAATAATCAAAAAAAAAGAATGTTTAAAGATGTAAATTATCTAACTAATTAGGCGTTGGTATAACATCATTCTACTTACTATATCAGTTTATTGACTTTTTATATATCAATCTAATGGTTTAATCATTTTCATGACATTCTACATCAATGCATTAAGTTTCTATATCAATCCAATGACTTTTTATACCCAATTTAATGACGTTCCATAACAATTCAATGATTTATTTTTTTTACTATTAATTTCTATTTAGGATTGTGTGATGACTGCCAAGGAAAAAACAAGTGTTTTATAAAAAGTGCTACTGAAGCAGTGTGTTCGAGCAGTTCGAATTCTTTGTTTAATTTTTTATCTTTAACTGTTTTATCATTTATCAGTACTTTATACTTCGTGCCAAATATTTGATTACTGGCGCGTTTTATAACTTGGTATTTTTAATTTAAAACGTTAAGTTTTTAATGAACTTCAATTAGATCGATTTAATTTTCATGTTTTAGATAAATTTTAAGTAGACATTGCTTATTGATACGAAGGTACGAAATATTTTTTTCAAAAATTTAATAGTTTTTCTTTTAATTATGTAAATATTTTAATTGTGGATTTTAATTTTTAAAAAGTAATAACTTCTTCAAACCTTTTGACTATTTTAAAAAAATCTAATTTTTTTTTTACCTTCTAGTTTTAAAGAATAAATCGTGTCTGATACTTATACCTACAAAAATCTTGACCTACTTACTTGTTCTACAAAAAGAAAATCTACTAAAAAGCGGAACTAATTTTCAGATAACCTACTGAGGCCTAAATTGTTTTCAACCGATTAAAGTCTATTTTATTTTCAACCGGTTTATGACATTTTCGTTTTTGACCGATTTATTTTTTGACCTACTTTATAGATTTTCATTTTCAACCGATTTGAGATAAATTAATTTTCAATCGATTATCAAGTCTGTGTTTTTAATGTTGTTGTTTTTTTAAACAACGATTATTTTTTTTAAATTAAAAATCAATAAGTTTTCCAAGCATTTATCGAGCCTTATACCTCCTGATTCTGAAGGTAGAGCTTCAACCACTGCCCCAAGGCTGATCTTTGGCTCGTATTCAAATCAACAACAAAATATACAAAATACATACCGAAAAGCCGTAGTTATAAAATTGAAAATACAGTAGGTTAAATATTCAGTAGGTTAACGATTTAGTAGGTTGGAAAATTAGTAGTACATGTTTTAATTTAGTGTAAATATAAAAAACAATAGTTGTCAAATGGAAATCAGAAACGTCTTAATCTACGAATTACTAAATTTTAAAAAATTAAGTTCAGTTAAAGGACATCGAATAAATTAATAGTTTAATATTCAAAACAAGAGTTAAAAAATGGAAAATTTACTTTCCATAGCACTAAGGTTTCTGTGACCCAATTTTTTGACAAAAAGTCTTTTCTTTTTAACTGCAAAAAAAATCTTATGTGGTTTCTTTAAATAAACCCTAAAAAGTGTAAATAAACATAACCTGTTTTAAATTTAATAACTTAGTTTGTTTTTATAATGTATTGAAAATAAGAATATTTTTTCGCAGCTTAGTTTACACTGAGTAAGCGACCATTTGATGAAGTTAAGATACTTTTCAAGAATTTGTTGTCAGTCGGTTTAAATCAAGATGTTTTCGTAAAATATCTAGTCTGCAAGATAAACAAATAAATTGTTTGAAAGGAAAACACTTAAGATATTAAAATGGACTATAAGCAATCTTTTAAAAATTATTTAAAATGTAATATGCTTATCCAGATATTTTATGTATATATTTTTATATAATTTATTATAATTTAATTGCGGAATCGTAACTTTAGCTTTAACTTCCAGACCTGCAAAATCTAGTCTGCAAGATAAACAACTTTAGCTTTAACTTCCAGATCTGCAAAATCTTAAGATCTTGAATTGCAAAGTGACGACATTGCTCAGTGCCAGAACTGGACTGGAAACAGATTTAAGCTCGGAAAATATCGGTGATGTAGGCCCACAATATAAGAAAGAAAAAAATTCAAAAAAGTATATTAGTAATTTATAAACAAACTTATTAATATAATAAAAAAGAGTTTGCTTTTTATTAATTGCATCATAAATCAAAGTTTAGTAATCAAAAATAATTTATGAAAAATTACTAATTAAACAAGTTTTTTTAATTGTTTTACTTTTTTCTTTTATTATATCTATTGCTCTAATATTGTCAATGTTATGTAGAATATCTTTTTCACACGCTATGCTTTCAAACGTTTTCAACTTTTGAGTCTATTTAAAATTTGTTTCAACTTTGAAAAAGATTTCTCAAAGATACTTGTTTTGATGATAAAGTAATAACAAAGTTGTATGCTAAAAATAAACTTAATTATGCTAATATATCCAGTTAAAATTTTCGCCTTAGAGCATTCAATAATGTGTAACATCATACAATACAATTTCTGCATGATTTGCATAATCTTTTTTTTTTTTAAACATCTTCGCTTCCAACAAGGCTGCAAGCAATCACTAATTAGTGTTAAAAGTTACTGGAAGAGAAAAGATGAAGATTGTAGAGTAAGATAACGATTGACAGACGACTAAAAAGATTACAAATTGTATGAATCAGGAAAGCAAGATGAAGGAAGCGAACTCCATAGAACTGATGTTCGAGGAAAAAAACTTTACAAGTAAGAGTTTTTGGAGCACTTTTGAAACAGTTACAGAAAAAGGATGAGACTTAATTGAATGACGAGTAACACGAGAATGAATTTTAGAGCAGTGTTTATTATAGTATTTGTAAAAAATAGAAAGAGAAGCAACATTACGATGATGTGACAAAGGTTGATGGTTGGCTGCAAGAGCAGGTCCAACTATGTTTACAATGCATTTTTGCACCTTGTCTAAAAGAGAAAAGGCATCATTAGAAGATTGAAAGTTCAACAGTGTGAGTTGGTATATTAGTAATTTAAATTTGTAGGAAATTATTTGTATCTAGACAAAATATAGGAGAATCATTTTTTTTTTTTTTTTAAGTCGTTTATTCGTGTTACTGGAAACTGCATCCATTATAACATTATATACACTTATAAGAAATCTGTTATTAGAATCATACGTTCTATTTCTTTTTTTTGTATGATATAATATTGTTTCAATATAATTTTTATGATATTTCTCGATATCTTATTGATTGTAATCTCTACATCGATTTCTTTAATAAATTTTTCGGATATTGAGATTTCATAGATCTGCAGAACATCGACGAAAAGTATAATTACAGATGTACTATTTAATGTACTAAATATTTATCCTAATGTCTTATACTTGGTCAGAAAAAAATTTAAATTTACAAAACTCTCGCCAGACATCTGAGTCCAGACAGACAGAGTCGTTTATAAGATTCTTTTAAAAAAACCTATTTTTTACCTTGTATTTAAGATACCAAATAGTTTGCTTCCTTTGTCTTTTGTGTGATCTCCGCAATAACCTTTTTTTGTTTTTATTTAGGTGCCCCAAGAAGACCTATCGGTCTTGTCACAGAGCACCGCGGAAGTGCATTTAGTCAAGAAGTTCACGCCTCCTTCCTTACCGTGACGCGAAAAAATGTCCAGTGCGAGTTTCGAACCTAGATCTCCTGCATATAAAGCAAGCGCTTTAACCACTGCGCCACGGCCTGTACGAATTTAACTAAATTTAATAAATGTGCAATATGAACTTGATTTGGGGAAATATGATTTAACCTAAAAAACTTGATTTAAATATGTATCTTGCATGTTTGCTGCACCACCAGTACAATTACTATTTAGTAACATCATTTTTCATATTTTTCAAAATTTCGCGTCTTAAGAAACATTTTCTCCAGTTGTTGAAGTACAATTATCTATTGCTATTAATCGTTAACAAAACACGGCTCTCTTTAGTGTATTTTGTAACAACTGAACATTGATCTACTAAGTTAATATCTTGAATGGAGTTTAATTGAATACTTATTTCGGCTTTATTTATTCCATTTGAGAGAATTTCTTTTATCAAAAAATTAATAGCGTTAATAATAGAATTTGTATTTTAGATAATAGTGTTACGAGATTGCAGCCGAGATTGCGAGAGTGCGGCCGTGGCGCAGTTGTTAGAGCGCTTGCTTTAGAAGCAGAAGATCCGGGTTCGAAACAAGCTCTGGACATATTTTCGTTCTCATCCGCGGTGCTTTGTGACAAGACCGATAGGTCTTCTTGGGGCGCCTAAATAACAAAAAAAAAATATTTGAAGCCACTGGTATAAATAAGATTTTATTCTTAATCTCAATAAAATAAAAAGCATTCTTATTAATTATATTTGATAATCTCATTTAAATCGCAATCTCATTTGATATAAGCTAAAACATATCCGAGTTTGAAGTTTACAACATCTCAGCGTAGTTTTAAGGCGAATTGGTAAAATTTAAATAAAAAGTTTTATCAAAATCTCATCTATGACAATCTATAATTTAGATGGTGGTAGCAGGCGAAAAACATACACACATGACACACACTTAAATGGTGGTAACACTGAGATAGTGGTATAAACACTCATTTAAATGGTGGTAGCAGTGGAACTCCCTCCCCACCGGTGCTATCGCCCCTGTGACAATATTTTTAAAAGTTTGGTACACCAAAATTACATTTCAACCAGTTTTAACTGCATAAAATTTAACACAAAGACAAGTTATAAACACCTGGTTTACTAAAACGTGGTAATACGGATTTGTTGTTAATACTGTTTCTAAATTAGAAATTAGCTAAAACAGCTTTAAAAATAGCTTTGTAATTGAAAAACAGCATTAAAACAGCTTTGTAAAAAAAATTCCGATATACTTATATAAGTTTTAGGTATCCACAGTAGCGAAACAATTTTCAGATCATTAAAGTAGGTAGGTTTTTTTGTTTCAGATAAAGGTTTCGATACTTTTGTTTTAAATTTTTGAACTACTTGTTTTAATTTAAAGTTTTCGTAACCATTTTCAGCAAACAGTTGTATTAGTAAACCAATTTCTTGTTGTAAATATTTTTTACGGCAAACCTTCAAGACTCAATGAATGAAACCAGCAAAGATACTTTCAGGAACCTTGGGATCATGTCTCAAATTCGGTTTAATTGGGATATTGGTAATTGCTTCTTTCCAGTGATTCTTGAAATCGTACCCACCATTTTTTTGTCAAAAACTTATCTTATTTTTAAGCACTAAAAGAATTGTCGATTTTTGAAAGAACTGACATTAGCAAAACTCTTTAGAACAGCTCATAGTTGAGCAGTTCCATACCATAAATACAAAAAAAATTGGCGAAGATATGATCAATGCCTTAAAAGTGATATTTCTGGACCACTGTGCAGCTTCCAAACAAGATGACGATGAGTTGCGGGCTTTTCGCAACATTTCGTTACTGATAGCTTAATCAGGAAAACTTCACACTTTCGGTGAAAAACTAATTCTACCAGCTATTATTGAGGGAAAACGTTCTATGCTACACAAGCCAGCGTCTAATATTAATG